GGCACAAACCACGTGGACGACGGCGACACCCGCGGCGCCATGGGTGCGGCGGGACTTGCCCCGACTGGCCCCCCCCCCAAGCGGGCCACAGAGCTCGCCATCTTCGCCATCTTCGCGCTGCTCTTCCCTGCCCTGTCGCTTCGCTGCACCCCTGCCCAGGGCACATACGCGTCGAGTAGTATTGCAGATGGCGTGCCGACCTTAGTCGCACGACCAGCTGCGGCCACCGGCGACCACACCGAGCACCGTCACCTCGACCAGCACCAGGACAAAGCACTGACGTCCGCCCTGACGTCCGCGCCGTCGCAAGCACAGACGCCTGCTCCCCTGGCTGCACCGACGCTAGCACCGACACCAGCACTGACTCCACCACTGACCACGCCAGCACCGATGCCTGCGTCTACGCCGGCACCAACGCCGGCGCCCACGTCAGCACCGGCGCCAGCACCGACGCCAGCACCGACAACAGCACAGACGACAGCACCGACGCCAGAGCGCACGCCAGCACCGACGCCAGCACGACGTCAGCACCGAGGACAACACTCTGGGCGGCACCGACGGCGCCAACACCGACGCCTTCGCTGGCACCAACCGCAGCGCCTACGCCAGCGACGACACCAGCCCAGGCGTCAGCACCGACGCCTGCATCGCCCGAGTCGCCGATCGTGGTTGCCATGTACATGGCCCTCCTATCGGTCGTTCTCGCCGCGACCAGCAACGCCCTCCCTCGCGGCGACAGTTTCCCGCCGACGACGGATGCTTCCGCCCAACTCCACCAGGCGACCCAGCACGACGCCACAGGAGCCCAGGACGCGGCCCCAGGCGTGGTCGACATCAGTCCTTCGTCTGAGATAGCCCCTCCTGCGGCCAAAGAGACCCTACTATGCTGCCCGCGCAGGCAAACATCGAGGCAGCGCCGCACGGCCCCCGCCCCCACACCCGCCTTCCTTCACCTACCTCCTCTGGGGCCTCGGCTGCGCGGTCAAGACGCAGAGGAAAGAGGAGGCGGCACTGATCACGACGACGACGGCGACGACGACAGCAGTGACTGGGCACCTGGGACTACGCTGGCGGCTCCGCTGCGCGAGGACGCGGCCCCTCACGCCCCCGCGCGCACAAGCGCGGACTCCGATAATCCACACGGCACCGCACAGTCCAACCAGGCTGGCAACCCACGGTGGCATCTCGCGCGCTACATCGGCCAACACTCTGCCATCGCTGGCCATGCCCGAGCTGTCAACCGTCGCTTGTCCATTTGGGTGCCGCCGAAGATCCACGTTGGCCCAGAGGTCACCTTTCAAGGCCAGGCATATCAATCCATCAACGGCCTAGGTGGCATCGTCCGAAGCAAATCAGCTGACAATCCTGAACATTGCACTGTTACGCTCTGCTGTGGCGATACCACCCACTTGCCCCCCACCAGCCTGGCCATTCACCCCCCCGCCCCATGCCCAAGGGCATCGCCCCTCGGCACGCGCACCTCTTCAGCGGCACCAGCCCAAGGCCCCCCAACCATCACCTCCCCTGTCTCGCCCAGCCTTGTTGCTTACCAGAGGAGGCAGCCTAAGGACGAGGGAGGAAGCGGAGATGACAACGACCACCACGACTACGACGCCAGCGGTGCCTCATTGCCCGCCGGCGTCCCGGCCGACCCGTCTACTGGACCGTCCACGGCGACCGTCCAACACGACTCCGCAGACCGCCACCATGGGACGACCTCTCCCTCCCACGACGATGCCCGCGCCAGCCCGCAGCGAGGCTGCACGAGCAGTCCCACGGCGGATTACGCGACGCTGGACGCCAGCGCACAGAACCACCCTTCCGCAACGCTCGGTGGCCACACAGCTGGCGCACTGACCCCAGTCGTGCGACCAGCCGCTGTGGTCACAGCAGGCCGACGCCAGAACAGTCCGACACCACAGTCCGTCCATACAGCTCACACACACACACACACCGACTCCACTGCGCTCCGACTTCGCAGTCTGACTCCAGGGCAGCCCGACTCCAGTCCGCCCCCAGGCCGACTGCCCACAGTCGGCTCTGTCGCCGCCACGAAAACGAACCGACGAAACAAACAATGCAAACCCTCGCCTCTACGAGGCCATCTCCGCCATCTGGGCAAGCAACCTCGATGCCTATCAAACCGCTGGGGCACTACCACTTCCAGGCGCTACATGTACCGAGCGCGGGGCCGAGCAATTAAGCATCGAAAACGGGGCTTCCTATGGCGAGCATTTCACCCGAAGCGACAGCGTCGTGATCATTGACCCGCCCAGCCACAAGTGGGGTCACAGCGGCACCGTCCGAAACCCTCGCCGCAACGCCGTCGCCGTTCAGCTCGACAGTGGCCGTTCGGTCGCAACGCGGCCCGTCGGCGTGGTTTCACTCCGTGATTTATGCGACGACAGCGACGATGATGACGACCCTGGCCTGGTTGATGACGACGGCGACTCTGACCTCTTGTGGCAGGGTTCGGAAGGAGAGGACGAAGTAGGCCCTCCAAACCACAAGTACTCAAGAGGGGAACAGGTCACGATTATCAACCCGTCCAGCCCCTACTGTGGACACTCCGGCATGGTCGCGGATGTCTCCGGCGAACGCGTCGTCGTCCAGTTCGCCGATGGCCTCGCGGTCTTCGCGAGCCTCTCCGACGTGGTCGGCTTTTGGTCGACTTTCGTCGGCCGTGGCGACGACGACCACGCTGGCCCCGCTGACATCCTCTGTGCTCTTGGCCAGGGCACGCTGCTGGGCACCCTTACCCCCGTCAAGCTCACCCTGTCGGAAGCAAACAAAAACTGACGCAACGTTTAGGCCAGCAGCGGTGCGCCAGTAAGGACCTCAGAAACCTTCCTGCTAACACCTGGCCGACCGCCTCGGGCCCCCTCCCCGCCATCCCCGCGGCGCCTGGCCACACCCCCTCTTCTTCCTCCTCCCGCTGCCACCCCAGGGGCCCACGCAGAGGAGGAAGGACGAGGAAGAAGACGGCGACGGGGATGTAAACGACGAAACTGGCCTCGACAAGGTCGTGCTCGACAGCGTCCTCCACACCACCGCGACCGTGTACGACCGCGAACAGCCCCACGACACTGCAATGGCTGGTGGTCACGCTGTTGGCGTACCGACCTCAGTCGCACGACCAACCGTCGCGGCCACACAATGGCTATTCCGCGGCCAGCAGACTCCACAGGCCGACTATACAGCGCGCACACAATCCGACTCCGCAGCAGACCGACTACACAGTCAGACTCGCCAGCAAATGCGCCTCCAGTCCAACCCCACCACAGTTCGACTACACAGTAAACGTTTCTGCTCGTGTGCCGTTACTGCAGGGGTGCCGCTTGCAGGGGGGTGGCAATTTTGATGTTAACCACGACGTTGCCCTCGAGCAAGTCGTGCTCGAGGCCGACCCGCGCACCACCGCAACGACGTGCGACCGCGAACAGCTCCACCGCAGTGCAACGGCTGGTGGTCCCGCTGCTGGCGTAACGACCTCAATCATACGAACAGCCCTCGTGGCCACACAAAGGCGACCCCACGGCCGTCCTACTCCAGTCCGACCACACAGCGCGCACACACTCCGACCCCACAGCAGACCAACTGATTTACTACCTCTGACGGCTCCGCTGCATCGGGCGCATAGCTCCTTTGCCTCACCTGGGCGCCGTCCCCCCTGCGGGAGCCGCGCCCACAGCTGTAGCAGTGCTGACGCCTGTCGCACTCTCCGCTGTTGAGGCCGCCCTGGAGCAGCCGCTCTTCACAGCGGGGGGGCCGCTCACTGGCGCACCCTCACGCTCACTGGCACCAACATGTCTGCCATGCGTGTTTCATCCTCCACTGTTTACATTTTACCTTACGCCCGCATGGGCCTCTATCACGGCCACAAGCCCCATTTTTTGCCAGCCCGATTGCCCGCGCGGCCGCGCGTCATCGGGTCCTGGCTGCGGCGGCGGGGGATGCCCCGTCGTTCGCAAGCCGCTCAGCGGCAAAGCCCCTGTCCCCCGGCCGCCAACCGGGGCGTCGCCGACCTGGGCCCTTTTTCTCCCGCGGGGCGCCGACGGACGTGGCGTATCGCCTGCTCAGGACCCCGTCATTTGCCTCAGTCGTTTTGAGCCAGAGTGTGGTTGTTTCAACGCTCCCCGTACTTCCTGGTGCTGCACCACGCCAAGAGTGGGATAGTAACCCAAACTATCGCAGTAGCCCGCTGCGGCGGGTCGCCCGTTTGCTTGTTCGACGTATATATATATATATATATATATATATATATATATATACATACATACATACATACATACATACATACATGCATGCATACATACCTACATACATACATACATACAGACATGCATACATACATACATACATACATACATATATTACATACATGCATACATATATATACACATATATATACATATATCGTTATCTCTCTCTCTCGCGTCCACTATCTCTATATTTATCTCTCTCTTTCGTTATCGTATATGTATAAATATATTGTTATATAGGCATATACGTTTCTCCCTGTACGAATGTGCATATATGTATATACATATATGTACATGTATACATGTACATGTCGGTGTTTCGATCTCCGTATTTCTACATATATGTATGTATGTACCACTATGTGAAATATATGGATTTCTCTGTGTAAATATCTCGTTATACATATCCATATGTGCCTACATATGTATATGTATATATGTATAAATGTATATATAAATATATGTGTATAAATCTGTATATATGTAGTATACCAAAGTTGCGTGCTATCGTTATTTATCATCAATACATACATGTACGTATGTATTCACATGCATAATAGGTGTATGTCTATGAATATGTACGTAGTTGTGTAAACGTATGTGTTTGCATGTACGCATATATACACATACATGAATTAAACACATATACACTTATACATGTGTACATGTATCCGCCTCGACCTCCTCGGCCCCCCCACCCGCCCCTGGCTCAGCCCCAGGCAGGGGGGCGGGGTGCTCCATGCCGAGGAACTCGCGCTGACCGATCGTACGCCAAGGCCTGAGGCATGAAGGCTAACTTCACAGGATGACATGCCCCATTCAGCAGCAGCAGCAGCAGCAGCAGCAAAGGCCTGGTCAAACCACAAGGGTTGGCCCGTAAACGGGCGAGGCCATAGCGCACTGGGCAAAGCGTGCGCGTGCGCATGGGAGAGCAAACGTTGTGTGTCCGTGGGGCGGGGGAGAGAGGAAAAGAACGGGGACGGTCCTCACGCATGAAAACAACTTAAAATTATCCTGACGAAGGACCCCACCATATGCAGTTGTGAGAAATGCGTTGTGGGTGCCGCTTTTGGTGGGCCGTGCAACGCGTAATGGGGCGCGCGGTGGTATTAGGTGGGGTGAACGCACGCGGGTGGTCCCACTGGGGCCTTCGGTGGAAATCCGTGTGGGGCCACGACGCGCTGTGCTGGGTTGTGTGGACGCATGCGGGCGGTGCCATTGGGGCCTTCCGTTGGGCCCCCATACGAGGCCACGGAACGCTGTACTGGGCGGGGGGGACGCATGCGGGCGGTCCCACTAGGACCGCTGGAGCTCCATATGGGCCCACGAAACGCTGCATTGGTGTGGCGGACGCATGCGGTCACCCCCATTGGGGCCTTCGGTGGAGCTCCCTAGGGGGCCACGAACGCATGCGGGCACTTCCACTGGGGCTTTCGGAGGATCTCCTTACGGGGCCGCGGAACACTGTACTGGGAGGGGGGGGGGGGGGGGCGCGCATGCTGGCACCTCCGCCGGGGCCTTCGGTTGACCTCCTTATGGGGCCACGAAACGTTGCTCTGGGTGGGGGAAACGCACGCGGGCACCTCCACTGGGACCTTCGGTGGGGTTCCCTATGGGGTCACAAAACGCTGTATTGGGTGGGGGACGCATGCGGGCACCCCCGCTGGAGCCATCGGTGCAACTCCGTATGGGGCCACCCAACGCTGTGTTGGGTGGGGGGGCACATGCGGGCACCCCCACGGGGGCCGTCGGTGTAGCTCCCTACGGGGCCACGAAACGCTGGTGGGGGGGACACATGCGGGCACCCCCACCGGGCCTTCGGTGGGGTTCCCTCTGGGGTCACGAAACGCTGTACTGGGTCGGGGTGACGCATGCGGGCACCTCCCCTGGGGCCTTCGGTTGAGCTTACTACGGGGCCACGAAACGCTGCACTGGGTGGGGGTGCACATGCGAGCACCTCCACCGGGGCCGTCGGTGGAGCTCCCTGCGGGGCCGCGAAACGCTATACTGGGCGGGGTGGGCGTATGCGGGCACCCCCACGGGGGCCGTCGGTGGAGCTCCCTATGGGGCCACGAAATGCTGCACTGGGGGGGGGGGGGGGGGGGGGCGCACGCGGGCACCCCAACTGGGGCCTTCGGTGGAAGTCCCTATGGGGCCACGAAACGCTGCACTGAGTGGGGGAAACGCAGGGAGGAGGGAGGAGGGAAAGAGGGGGAGGAGGAGGGAATTTTGAATTGCGACCTGATTCGCCACAGACAGCGGTCAGATGACGACGGCACTCAACTGGCTTCATACAAACGAGCATTCGAAAGCATTAAACCACGGGCGCCAAGGAGAGTACACGCTCACGGCCCATCCACCCCATAAGTCCGCCCCCCGACCAAACCCCCCACTAGGTATGACAGGTTGGCGCCGTGTGTCGCTAAAGCACGACCAGGCTCCGACCCCAAACGGCCGGAGAACAAGTCAAGTCCACTCCAATCCCCCCCAACCACTGCCCCACCCCCGACAGCAACTCTTGCCGAAACAGGCGCAGCCATGAACGGCGCACGAGTGGGGGATGAGTAAGGGGAACATGTAAGAGCAGGGAAGATAGCAGGGGAAAAGGACATCGCCTCTGAGCGAGTCCGCTGCGGGCACCATCGTACCAGAAAGCACGGCGGGGCACGCTATTCGCACTCTCGGCCATGCCGCCAGCAAGTGAGACCAGCACGTGACACGCACCACAAAATGCAAAGAGACGGTCCTGACAAACGAACTCCACGATGTCCGCAAGCAGTGGGCGGGCAAAGTAACGACAGCAAGAGGCAGCAACCCTTCCCTTCTACCCCATCGCTGCAGCAACCCGACCCTGCTACCCCTTCTCTGCCGCTCGCCGCACGCGTGGAAGGGTGCGGAGGTGGAGGCGGAAGGGGAATACATGAAAGTGGCACCCCATGGACCCGAGGGGATACACGCTCCGTCGCATTTAAGCCGTCGTGGGCACTCGTATGGGCTCTACGGGTCTACCCCCTCGGGAAATAATATGCACTGACGGACGGCGACATTCGCCTCTCCGCTTGTCCTCTGCGAACACCACATCTCCAGCTCGGCATGGCGGGGCACGCTATTCGTACTCTCGGCCCGCTGCCAGCTCGTGGGGTCAAGGATATGACATCATGAGGCGAAGTATCCGCCCACCCTTCTACTTCATCACTGCTATGTGCAAGAAAGGGCATGCAATGCTGCAACCCAGCTCTGCCACCCCATGACTGCTACACACAACACGCATGAGAGGAGCAGGGTGAGAATGGAAGGTAAAGGAGGGGGAAGGGGGAGACTTTGGCATACTGAACACTCCTGTCATCGACCTACCCTCTTGCTGAGACTAGTCAAACAGGTTGAATCTGAAATTTGGATCCGTGGTCCATGGTGCAACAACACGCAGCCTGGCCTCACGTTCAGCCTCTATCTTCGCCTTTCGCCGTCTACGGGCCTCTTGCCTATTCACCCTGACAGTGTGGCAGTAGTCAGCGGTGCTGGCCCACGGCTCTGCTCATCCAAAAACTCCCTCGCGACAACATATTCCTCCTCACACCAGGCTGCCTGACCTCCCTCCTCCTCTGCCTCCGCTTCCTGAGCGAGTGGGGACTGGGAAGCGACCGGTTCCGTCGTTGCCTCCTGTGGTGCAGGCACGGGCAGGAACCTCTCCATTTCTGGGTCAGGACGGGCGCGCTTGTGGGCTCTGGACACAAAATCTGGGGCCCACGACCCCTCTTTGCCCGCGTACGGATCCCAAGCAACCCAGAACTGTAGCAACTCCTGACGCGTCGCTTCATCGCACATATCGCACGGGAACTCGTCATCATGTGATCCCGACTCGTCGCCGAACATCGCACTGATAGTAGTAGCGATGCAGTCCGCGATACATCGGCATAACCCAGTCGGATACGTCTTTTTCTGGGCTCTCGCCAAGCTCGCGACTTCCGATCGTATCCTAGCAGGGTCCGATGTCCACCCCTCCCGTGCGAGCACCTTCCCCGCCCAGGCGTGTTGAGTAGTGCTGTGTGTAGCCCTGGCATCCTAAGGGCTAGTATACGTGTCGGGGCACGTGAACTCTGTCCGTGCTCACATTGGTCGAAGTCCGTGGTAGTTACAGCGGGCGACGACTCCAGTGCACGGAGAGGGTGCCAACTGAAAGAACTGACCGCCTGTAGCCTCCACCCGCAAGGCTGTGGATGCTCCATCCAGCAGGAGGTGCCCACCTCCAAATGCACTGCAAACAGTTCCACCATGGCCTGGAGCAGTGCATTACGTACCCACAACTGTCCATTTGCCGTGGTGTCACGTTGGTTTTTCCCCAGAAGGCGTCGTGTGTACGTAAGGGGGGTGGCCCAGGGCCGTCGGACCATCGTGACGCAGACCACGTCTCACATGGGGGGCCCCCTCCAGACAAAATAACCCGCCGATCTCGAATATGCACCTTCCACGTCTCGAGTGTATTTCTATTCATCATATCACCTAACGTCGCGTGGATCGCAATATCTACCGACAGCCCATGAATACAGTAGTTAGCCTCATGGTGGGACCAATGTAGATGTGCTTGAATATCTCCAGCCCTCCGACGCCCGCAATATACATTCAACACAAAGTACTCAGTGCGCCGTAGCAATCCCTGTGTACTGCTCTGTCAAGAACAACCGACTTGGGTAGCGCTCTGTGAAGGAGGAGGGGGAGAAGGAGGAGAGGAGAGAGAGAGAGAGAAGGAACGCTGGGACCGTCTCTTGAAAACGAGGACCCAACATTCCAGGATGGTTGGGAACAAAAGAACAAATCATTTGGCGAAGGACTCAACCATATGCAGTTCCGAGCACCGTCGTTGTATGCACAGAATTCGGAAGAGTTCCCTATAGGGCCACGAAAGTTTGAGGGGGGTGCCAAAATTTGTCTGGTGGGCGCATGCGAAAGCAGCCACTGGGGCTGTCGGTGGAATTCCCGATGGGGCCACTAGACGCGTGAGAGGTGTGCCAAAATAGGTGCGGTGGGCGCATGCGACCGCAGCCAGTGGGGTCGTCCGTGGAGCCCCCTATGGTGCCGCGAAACGTGTGAGGGGTGTGCCGACATGAGTGAGGTGGGCGCATGCGAACGCAGCCACTTGCAACTTCGGTGAAGCTCCCTTGGGGGCCACAAAACGTGTGAGGGGTGTGCCGAATTGGGTGCGCCTGACGCATGCGGGCGGTGGCACTGGGGCATTCGGTGGAGCTCCCTGTGGGGCCACGAAACGTGTGAGGGGTGTGACGAAATGGGTGTGCCTGACGCATGCGGGCGGTGGCACCGGGGCCTTCGGTGGAGCTCCCTGCGGGGCCACGAAACGTGAGGGGTGTGCCGAAAACGGTGTGCGTGACGCATGCGTGCTGTGGCACTGGAGCCTTGGGTGGAGCCCCTTGTGAGGCCACGAAACCTGTGAAGGGTGTGCCGAAACAGATGTGCCTGACGCATGCGGGCGGTGGCACTTGGGCCTTCCCTGGAGCTCCCTGCGGGGCCACGAAACAGGGGTGTGCCGAAAACGGTGTGCGTGACGCATGCGGGCGGTGGAGCTGGGGCCTTCGGTGGAGCTCTCTATGGGACCACGAAACGTGTGAGGGGTGTGCTGGATTAGGTGTGCGTGACGCATGTGGGCGGTGGCACCGAGGCCTTCGGTGGAGCTCCCTGAGGGGCCACAAAACGTGTGAGGGGTGTGCCGAATTGGGTGCGCCTGACGCATGCGGGCGGTGGCACTGGGGCATTCGGTGGAGCTCCCTGTGGGGCCACGAAACGTGTGAGGGGTGTGACGAAATGGGTGTGCCTGACGCATGCGGGCGGTGGCACCGGGGCCTTCGGTGGAGCTCCCTGCGGGGCCACGAAACGTGAGGGGTGTGCCGAAAACGGTGTGCGTGACGCATGCGTGCTGTGGCACTGGAGCCTTGGGTGGAGCTCCTTGTGAGGCCACGAAACCTGTGAAGGGTGTGCCGAAACAGATGTGCCTGACGCATGCGGGCGGTGGCACTGGGGCATTCGGTGGAGCTCCCTGTGGGGCCACGAAACGTGTGAGGGGTGTGCCGAAAACGGTGTGCGTGACGCATGCGGGCGGTGGCACTGGGGCCTTCGGCGGAGCTCCCTATGGGGCCACAGAACGTGTGAGGGGTTTGCCGAAATGGATGTGCGTGACGCATGCGGGCGGTGCACGGAGGAGGGGAGGAGAAGAGAAGGAAGGAAGGAGGGAGGGAGGGAACGCGGGGACCGTTTCCTCAAAACGAGGACCCTATACCACAGGATGGTTCGGAAAAAACGACTACACTAGCTGTGCGATCACCTGGCGCCAGAGTGGCAAAACGCACTACGAGACAGCATTGTCCCAAGCGAAACCGGTAAATGCTGCTGGGGAGCATGACTCGGCTGTACTGACAGATGGCTCGCCCTTGAAACGAACAGACCGCTCGACGAGTCTGGTAGCTTGCCACCTTGCCTGTAGCACTCAGAACTTCAGATACAAAGTGCGAATGTGACAATAGGCCGCGTGACAAGCGGGCTCCGCTTTGTGTCGGCTTGACGCGGTGTACCAGATAAACAAATCCATCGGAAGCGCACGAACAACCGTCCAATGCACAGATCGGCTCACACATCGTCTCTCCGTGCGGCTTACTTCGACTCATACCTTTCGTCAAGATCGGTGGAGCACATGCTAAAATGATCGCGTTGACCTCTGGCAATCATTTTGCAACGACTTCCGACATCCCATCCACTGCTTCTGCGCCCCCTGTGCAAAAGCTCTGACAGTCCAAAAGAAGGAAAGCTTGCCCCGCTGGGAGCCCGTTCAGCGTGCTGAGAAGTCTGCTCGCCGAGTCGAGGTGGCACAAGTCTTTGGACTCAAGATACTCGCGTGGCAAGTCTGTGCAATGCACACGACCGGGATGATGATAGGAACACAGGACCAGCCCTTGACTCGCCAAGAGAGGTGCACTCTTCACTGATACACAAGCGAACAAACAACAAGATGGCACGTGAAGGCAAAGCCTGCTGGCGTCCACGGCAGCCTGGCATGCTGAATGACGGCTGGCTTGGAACAAATATGCTCGAAGCGGGCGTCTGAGACAAATGCATTCTGGGGCGACTGTGACTAGATCTGTCAGAGCCTTCGTGAGTCACACCGAGGATCCGCTGGTGAAGGGGCCCTGGGACACACATAAATACACACAAATAAACAGATTCCCAATATTTTCCTATATTTCCTGGGTTTTTGTCTTCCCCCCCACTTCCCATATTTTCCCATATTTTCCTGGGAATCGACGATTAACTGTGTCTGTGTGTTTCTTTCCCTCCTGAGCTGGCCCCGCTGTGTCGCATCCAGGCTGCGAAGGCCCCGAGCATCACCCCCAGGCACGTGAAAAGAAGCTCTGTTGCGCGCGCAGTAGCACAACGCCTGCAGGAGCTCTCTTGTGCCCCCTCTGCCACCTACTCCGGATTCCATAACAAAGTCGGGGGGGTCACATTTGGGGGGGGTCTGATTTGAGCTCTCTTGGAGGGTTGGGGGGGGTCTGGGCAAAGCGCCGCCCTTTCATGGATGGTCTGGGAGGGTCTAAAACTTCTCGTCTGGGAGGGTTGAGACCCCCTCCCTTTTATTACGAAATCTGGAGTACCCCCTGCCCCAAACCACGAGCCAAAGGACCCAAGCTGTAGGGGTGGAGATGCCATTGCTCGTCCACGACTCCCTTGCCTCGAAGGATTGGGCTCTCGGTTCCCGGGGGCCCGCGTCCCGTGAGAAGCGCGATTGGCACCTTGCCCCTGAGGCCACGAGGCCTGATGAGGTGCATGACATGTCTGCCCCCAGAGGCCGCGACCCCACTCACGATGCAGTTGCTCCCCGCTCCTGCAGCCTCCGTCCCTCCAACAACCTGAGCTGGCAGGCATGGGAGGCGCCGCCCCTTCGAGCAAGTACACCGCGCAGTGGGCCCGCTCGGAGCAATTCCAGCACCGAAGCAGAAGGCACTCGTGATGCGTGGAGAGTTCTCTATGCACCGCTCCCCATACCCGAATACCAGGAATTTGCCACCACGCTGACGGCCTGGGGCCCAAGAGAACAGCCGCACACATCTCTGGCCAGGCTGGGCAATCAGCGCACTCCTGCGCAACGCCATGCGCGCAGAGACGCCCACATCGGAGAGACGGGGCAGGGCCAGGGGTGGGGCGACGGGGCCCCCTCACGGAGGACCGCGGGCGCCCCGGCGGAGTCGCTTCGTAGCCCGACCTTGGGCTTAGGTCGGGCATGTCACCCTACAGGGCGGAATTTGGAGGAAAAATAAAAAATCCTGGCGAAGGACCCAACCATATGCAGTTGTGACTACAGCAATTGTGAATAGCTTCTTCGGTGGCGATCCCTATGGGGCCACGAACCGTGCGAAGGATGTGCCGACATGTGTGGAGGGGTACACAACACGAACGGAAACGATAGGCCTGAGCACGGGGGACTGAGCGCGAGTGAGACTGAGCGCGAGCGCGTCTGATTGTGATAAAAACTGCGTGCGAGTGAATCTATGTGCATGAATGCGAGCATGGACACGACGAGTGTAAATGTATGTGACTGTGAATATTGGGCGTGGCGGGGGCCTAACGGGCCACGAAGCGCGTCAGGGGCGTACTGGGTGTGGTGGACGCATGCGGGCACCCCCCCTGGGGCCGCAGGTGGAACTCCATAGTAGGCCACGAAACACTGAACTGGGTGTGGCGGACGCATGCGGAGCACCCCACTGGGGCCTTCGGTGGAACTCCCTATAAGGCCACGAAGCCCTGTACAGGGTGTGGCGGACGCATGTGGCCACCCCCACTGGGGCCTTGGGTGGAGCTCCCTATGGGGCTATGAAGCGCTGTACTGGGTGTGGCGGACGCATGTGGCCACCCCCATTGGGGCCTTGGGTGGAGCTCCGTGTGGGGCCGCGAGACGCTGTACTGGGTGTGGCGGCCGCATGTGGCCACCCCCACTGGGTTTTCGGTGGAACTCCCCATGGGGCCACGAAGCGCTGTTATGGGTGTGGCGGACGCATGTGGCCACCCCCACTGGGGCCTGAGATGGAACTCCGTATAACGCCACGAAACGTGTGAAGGGTGTGCCGAGATGGGTGTGGCGGACGCATGTGGCCACCCCCAGTGGGGCCTTAGGTGGAGACGACACGCTGTACTGGGTGTGGCGGACGCATGTGGCCACCCCCACTGGGCCCTTGTGTGGACCACGAAGCGCTGCACTGGGTGTGGCGGACGCATGTGGCCACCCCCACTGGGGCCTTGGGTGGAACTCCCTATGGGGCCACGAAACGCTGTACTGGGTGTGGCGGACGCATGTGGCCACCCCCATTGGGGCCTTGGGTGGAGCTCCCTATGGGGCCACGAAACGCCGTACTGGGTGTGGCAGACGCATGTGGCCACCCCCACTGGGGGCTTCGGTGGAGCTCCCTATGGGGCCACGAAACGTTGTACTGGGTGTGGCGGACACATGTGGCCACCCCACTGGGGCCTTGGGTGGAGCTCCCTGTGGGGCCACGAAACGCTGTACTCGGTGTGGCGGACGCATGTGGCAACCCCCACTGGGGCCATGGGTGGAGCCCCCCATGGGACCACGAAGCGCTGTACTGGGTGTGGCGGGCGCATGTGGCTACCCCCTATTGGGGCCTTGGGTGGAGCTCCCTATGGGGCCACGAAACGCTGTACTGGGTGTGGCGGACGCATGTGGCCATCCCCACTGGGGCCTTAGGTGGAGCTCCCTATGGGGCCAGGAAACGCCGTACTGGGTCGGCGAAACGCATGGAGGAAGGACGAGGGTGGACGGGGGGCGGGAGGGGGCAGCGGGGCGATGATGCCTCGTCAGAACGAGGATCCAACACCACAGGATGGTTGGGAAATAATTCAAAATTATCCTGGCGAAGGACCCAACCATAAGCAGCTGTGGGTACCGCAATTGTGAGCATCTTCTTTGGTGAAGCTCCCTATGGGGCCACGAAACGCTGCAATGGGTGGGGGGGAACGCATGCGGGCGGTAGCACTGGGGCCGTCGGTGGAGCTCCCTATGGGGCCACGAAACGCTGTACTGGGCGTGTGAAAATCAAAATTGCGTATGGGACGCGCGCGGGCGGTCCCAGTGGGGGCTTCGGTGGAGCTCCCTATGGGGCCACGAAACGCTGTACTGGGTTGGTGAAAATGCCATATTAGGCTTCCGGGGCGCATGCGGACGATCCCACTGGGGGCTTCGGTGGGGCTCCCCATGGGGCCACGAAACGCTGCACTGGGTGGGTGAAAATGTCAGATTGCGTGCGCGGGACGCATGCGGACGGTCCCACTGGGGGGTTCGGTGGAGCCCCCTTTTATGAACCCACGAAACGCTGTACTGGGTGGGTGAAAATGCCAAATTGGGTGTGTGGGACGCATGTGGGCGGTCCCGCTGGGGGCTTTGGTGGAGCTCCCTATTGGGGCCACGAAACGCTGTACTGGGCGTGTGAAAATCAAAATTGCGTATGGGACGCGCGCGGGCGGTCCCAGTGGGGGCTTCGGTGGAGCTCCCTATGGGGCCACGAAACGCTGTACTGGGTTGGTGAAAATGCCATATTGGGCTTCCGGGGCGCATGCGGACGATCCCACTGGGGGCTTCGGTGGGGCTCCCCATGGGGCCACGAAACGCTGCACTGGGTGGGTGAAAATGTCAGATTGCGTGCGCGGGACGCATGCGGACGGTCCCACTGGGGGGTTCGGTGGAGCCCCCTTTTATGAACCCACGAAACGCTGTACTGGGTGGGTGAAAATGCCAAATTGGGTGTGTGGGACGCATGTGGGCGGTCCCGCTGGGGGCTTCGGTGGGGCTCCCCATGGGGGCCACGAAACGCGTGTGCGGGACCCATGCGGGCGGTCCCACTGGGGGCTTCGGTGGAGTTCCCTATGGGGCCATGAAGCGATGTACTGGGTAAGCGAAAATGCCAAATTGGCTGTGCGGGACGCATGCGGACGGTCCCACTGGCCACGAAACGCTGTACTGGGTGTGGCGGACGCATGTGGCCACCCCTACTGGGGCCTCCGATGGAGCTCCCTATGAGGAAACGAAACGCTGTACTGGGTGTGGCGGACGCATGTGGCCACCCCCTGGGTGGGCCTTGGTGGAGCTCCCTATTGGGGCCACGAAACGCTGTACTGGGTGTGGCGGACGCATGTGGCCACCCCGACTGGGGCCTTGGGTGGGGCTCCCTATGGGGCCACGAAGCGCTGTACTGGGTGTGGCGGACGCATGTAGTACCCCCACTGGGGGGGAGGGGCACGGGAGGAGGAGACGCGGGGACCGTGTCTTCAAAACAAGGACCCAACACCACAGGATGGTTGGGAAAAACCCTCCAACATGGTCCAAAAGAGTCGAAACATCATCCCCACACACTATCTTCTTGACTCTTCTTGAATACTCCTCCTGCAGAGGGACACGCCCGACCTCATCTTGGGCTCGCCCTCCTTCCCCCCTCCGCGGGCGCCCGACTGCTCGGGAGCGGCCTGACCGACCCCTCCCGTGACGAGCCCCACACCTGTGACTGAGTCTCGTTTAACCGATCCCCATCCCCAGCGGCGTGGCCTGGGCCCCACTAGACGACTTCACCCCTAGATGGGGATGTAGGTCGTCCTCTTCGGGTTTCGAGGGGTATATCCCCAACTGAGGTGGTAATTTGGTGGGGGTCTCGAAGGAGATGGGGATGGGGATGGGGATCGGTTAAACGATGCCGACCTGTGACGGCACTCTTGCCCTCGAGGCGGCCCCTCCGGCCGCCTGCTGCCCGCGCCCCCGAGAGCGAGGCGGCGGGGGGGGAGGGCCGCCACAGCTGGGGTCGGTCGGGCATACCCCTATGAGGGCATCATCCTCCTCCTGCTCCTCCTCCTCCTCCTCCCTCCTCCTCCTCCTCCTCCTCCTCCTCCTCCACAGACACCCCTGCGAGGGGCTGCTCTTCCCAGACGCGGCCCCAGACATCCCAACCCCTCGTCACCGGGGCCATTTCTGTTCGCCCCAGGTCCATGCTCGAGATGGTCCCGGGGGGGGGGGCCCGAGAAGCGGGCCCCGGAGGCCGACGCCGAGGAAAAGCACCTGGCCGAGACGACCAGACCGTCAGAGCTCTGGGGTAGCGATGCCGCTGCTCCACGGAACTCTCCTGCGGCAGGTCCTGAGCAGAAGCTCGAGGCGAACCCGGCCGTGGCGACGAGGGCGACGAGGGCCCTCCAGGACGAACAGCGGCATCGGTATCTCCTCTTGTGATGCTCTCACCTGCTGTAGCCTTGAGCACCACGAGAATGGCGAGCACCAGGAAAGTACCGAAACTTGAGGGCTTTCACGTGTCGGGCTCTGGGAAGCGATACTCGCTCGACACTGTCTCGATGCCTCTCTGGGTGCTCGAAATGATGTTTGGGATCTGGTCCCTAAGTACGATGGGAGCAACATAAATCTCGGCGCGCCACCCTTGCAGACGTGCTGCAGCGGACTTGTGCGTGGACTTCAGTCCATGCAAAACTCCGAAAGCGCGAGTGAAAAACGAAGTGAATGTCGCGTGGATGTTTTTTTTGTCTTCATTCCTGGCCACAAAAATCCGCACGAAATTCACCTCGAAATCCGGAGCGAAATCCTCCAGGACACTCTGGGACCCTCCCACCGCTGTCCGAGCCAAATCCGCTCTGCGATGTGGGCGGCATGGCAAATCTCCTCCCCCTCTGAAGCAGGGGGGGCCCGAAGCCCAGACCGAAAATTTGGACGCCCGAAATGGGTACGGAAAGAATGGGTACAATGCCCAACAACAGATGTTGTCCCAAACCAACAGCGGCCGCTGTTGGGCAGGCGGCCTTCTGTCCCGAATGGACACAGGCCGCGGCGGCGCGGACAGCGAGTCCTGTTCCAAATGAACAAGATCCGCTGTTGGGCATTGTACCCATTCTTTCCGTTCCCATTTCGTTCGTGCAGAGAAAACTGGACACAAACAACGGCAGACGGCCGGCCAGCAGCAGCGCGGGGCCCTCCGCCCTCGAGGCTCCGCCCTCCATCCTCGAGGCTCCGCCCTCCGCCCTCGAGGCTCCGCCCTCCATCCTCGAGGCTCCGCCCTCCATCCTGGAGGCTCCGCCCTCCATCCTCGAGGCTCCGCCCTCCATCCTCGAGGCTCGACCCTCGACGCCGGCAGGCCCTGGGGCGGCGCCAGCGCTGCCAATGCCGCGCTCTCATGCGGCCCTGCTTGGCTCCTGCTCGCAACGCACACCGCCAGAGGTCGAGGAGGAGGAGGAGGAGGAGGAGGAGGAGAGGTATGGTAGATTAGGTTTGGTAGGTATGGCATAGTGTGGCATGATGTGGTGAGTGTTGTATGGTACAGCAAGTTTGGTATGGTATGGTGGGTATGGTATGGTAGGTGTGGCGTGGTAGGTATGGTATGGCAGGTAGGGCGGCGGAGAGCTCGAGAGATCCACCCGCAAGGAGGAAAGACTGGCCTACTCTGTAAGAACGGTTTTTTGAAGGCAGATCTGCCTTCAACTCTGCAAGAACGGTTTTGTAGGAAAGATACGGATACGTGTTGTCCCCGGACCTCTCTTGGGGTGCGTTCTGACCAGAATTTCGAGGCGAATCCAGCGGTGACAACGAGGATTCCCCAGGAGGACCAGGAAAGGCCGAAAACGACGGGGGACAACACGTATCCGTATCTTTTTCTCCCCCAAAGGGCAGCGCGGCGCGGCGGCGGTCCGCGGCGACGGTGAAGTACGGCCCCCCCGCCAGCGCCGACAGGGGCAGCGCCCCGGCGGCGGCGGCGGCGGCGGCGGCGGCCGGCGCCGCCGCGGAGGAGGACGCGCGGCCTGCCCCCTCGCCGCGGGTGGTGACTTCCTACCTGTCCTCCTCCTCCTCCTCCTCCTCCTCCTCCCTCCTCCTCCTCCTCCTCCTCCTCCTCCTCCTCCTCCTCCTCCTCTCCTCCTCCTCCTCCTCCTCCTCCCTCCTCCTCCTCCTCCTCCTCCTCCTCCTCCTCCTCCTCCTCCTCCTCCTCCTCCTCCTCCTCCTCCTCCCCCTCCTCCTCCTCCTCCTCCTCCAGACCACCCCAACCCAACCCGGAGACCCGAACTTGACCCGAATTTCGGGTTTGGGGGGGCACGGGGTCCATCTATGTTTTTGTCCGTGCTCCATGACCCCCCCCCACACTGGAAAGGGAGGACGAATGGAGGCCTTCGGGTTGGGTCGGGGTGGTCTGGTGGGTGGTGAGGTAGGGGGGGGGGGGCTTCGGAGGAGGAGAATCGGCGGGCAGCCCGGGGGGAACAGCTGCCGACCTCGGGGAATAGACAGGCGCGTTCCGCTACGCGCATGAGAAGCTGCTCGCAAGCTCTGGATCCAGCCTGGGGGGATTTACGATACATGAAATCGATGTGGCCATGCGTGTTTCGGACGTCTGCGAGTAGACACTTTGCGAGCAGTGGAACACGCTCGGTGAGGGAAGGCTGCATACAGTGGAGGCCAGTCCACAAGAAACCTTCCACAAGAAACCCAACCCTGAGACCCCAGGACGCCCATTGATCTTTGGCGTGGGAGCGTCGCGCTCTCCATCGCAAGATCGTCGACACCCAAGAAGCCCAGGGCATCCTGGAGGCAAGCAGGGTGCCTCTTGGCATGGGTCTCCACTGCCAACCTCGGGGATGGAAGCGCTGCGTGAGCAGAAACTGTCGGACACTCCGCGTGGGTCTCCCGGGTCCGCGGGCCGGGCCCCCCTCCCCGACCCACGGAGAGCGCACCATGGGGCGGCCCGAAGAGGTGCCGCCAGGAGGGCCCCAGCGCCAATCCGGGAAATCCGCGCGCGGCTCCAAGAGTGAGGGGGGGCGGGCCTTCTCAGAAGACCCGAGGTCCTCCGGACCTCTGATGAAGTGCTCTTTCTGAGAAGGCCTCCTCCTTCTCGCTTCCCCCCCTCGCTCGCCGCCGAGAAAAGGTATCAATGTGTACCGCTGCTCGTTCTGGAGAGCCCTCGTCGCCTCAGTTGGATTCTCCTCGAAATCCTGGTCAGAGCGCACCCCAGGAGAGGGTGGAGAAGCGGTATTGGGTATTGGTATCGTTTCGTCCCCCCAGAAGGGAGGTCGGTCGAGCGGCCTCTGCTTGCCTCCGCGGGGGGGGGGGGGCGCTCGAGGGTTTCTGGAAGCTTTCGAAAGCGGCTTTTGCAAGTTTTGAACAGGTTTCCAAAAGCCTGGGTGGTTTCCATCAGTCGGCGGTGGACAAACCTCCCTTTAGCAAACCTCCCCTTAGTGGAAACGGCCTGGGACCGAGACCCACGGGCCTGGACCCACAGAAATGAGTGCCGCGACGCCCTCTCGCGAACCGAAAACGGCCAGTCCCTTAATCGACGTGTCAGGGTAGGAGGTCTACCAACCTCCGAATCAGCTGCGCTTCGTCGAAAGCGTTCGGGGGGGGGGCTGGAGCGTCCCGCGCGGCCGCTGGGGCGCCGAGCTATGGCCCGCAAGCCGGCAGGTCAAGGAATCATCCCCCCGGCTACAGTCGGGGCGCTGACCTAAGGAACCCTGAATAAGGAACGAGGCCCCTTTTTCCCACAAGCTAAACTTCGATTTCCCATCGAAACCCTAAGCAAAACCAGAGGCGAACTGCAAAAAAACTAGGGAACACCGAGCCCCTCCCCAACGAAAAGGGTTCCTTCCTCAGGGCCCCGACTGTATTCTGTGACTCTTCCTGAACGGATCCCTCCTGCAGAGGAGGGGCGTGCCCGACTTGGGCCCAGGGGCCTCCACTCGCCGCCCCAGCGGGGGGGGGGGAGGAGAGCTCCGCAGGGGGGGGAGGTGCCCGGCCAGCTCCGGCTCGCGCGGACCCCGAGAGCCGTGCGCTGCCGCAGCTGTTTTCAAGCCGGGCGCTCTCGCCCGGGGCAGGAGGAGGGAGGTCAAGAGATCCACCCCCAGAATAGCCACCCCGACACCCGAAGTCGTTTGGCAAACGCGCCCAGAGAAGAATTCGAACCGTCTTTTGGTCTGCGGGGCGAGAGCGAGCCTCTTCCGCTAAAAGCTAGGCGGGCTACGCGCAGCTTTGATTAAGGAGACAGGGCACAGGAAGGCGGGGCCGAGAAGAATTCGAACAGGGCAGGGCTGTTCAGTGAACGCCCAGGGCCGTTCAGTAAACGCCAATTGTCCGGTCAGGGTGGCTTTTCCTTCCTTGAGAGAAGGGAGGTGGAGGAGGCAGAGGAAGGCGGGGGCCCCAAGGATTGCAACCGCGGGGGATGGGGGGGCAATGAGATGAGCGGAGGAGAGAGGTGAAAGGGCAAGAACCACAGAAGGGGCGGGCCCAGGAGGCCATCGAAGATCGATGCCGCGGGGAGAGTGGGTCTGGGGCTCTGGTCGTGACTTTTGTTGCGGCGATGCGCCGGGTCTTTCGCACGAAAAAGAAGGAGAGAAGAAGAAGTCAACTCCGAGACGAAGAGGGTGGGAACGCCAAGTGCGCGCGCGCGCCATACCTGATATCCTACCACACCCACCCATCCCTTCCCTTTGTGCTGCATTATTTTCGGTCAACCAGTTGGGGCGTCCTAGATGGCTTTGCATCGTCAAAATGGTCCCATCGTGTGAGGCACCATCAGCAAGAGGGGAACTTTCTACTTTGAACGAGGAGGAAGTGAAGCAGGAGGAAGACAAGGATGATGAGGAAGGAGGAGGAGCAGCAGCAGCAGGAGCAAAAAGGGCAGAAGGAGCAGGAGGACAGGGGGGAGGCGGAGAAGAGAGCCGACCTGGGACACCACTGCGCAACTAACATCATACGATAAAGGCTGGGGACACAAACACAGCATCAGGGGAGAGAGGAGAGTACGATTCACATTGACTAGCTGTGGAAGGGGAGTGCAGGGGGAAAGCACAGAGTCCAGTGTCGAAGCAGCCAGGCTCCCGAGAGGGTAGCGTTGTCCAAGAGGGCCCCGGATATCAAGCTATGGGATGGACGTGAAGGAGGCGGAGGGCAACTGGGATGGACAACGGAGAAGGCGGGGTGGAGGACGCAAGAGGAATAATAACAACCAGGAAAAAGGAGGTGCAACGGAGGAAGGCAAGGAGGAAGGCATGGAACCCTTTGTCTCAATATAGCGAACGTCGCAGCTGGAGCTACAGTCCAAGTCTGTAGTAAAGAGACGCTCTGCGAAACGCAAGACCCTTGGACGGTCCTGGGACGCCCTGGTTGAAGTTTTCTAGCGGCGCACTGCTGAACAAATCCGAGGACGCAAGGGTGCCCTTTGGAAGGCGGCCCATCCTTCCTGTGGATTTTCACTGTACGGCCAACGCTGCGGCGAGAACGTCATTCCATGAAACAGACAACCAACGACCATGGAAGTTTTGAAACATGGCATACGCTTCAGCGGGAGCACAACTTTTGCGGATGCGTGAATACGAAAATCGATGCGGCGAGGGCGACTTTCATTTGCACGGACGCTCTATGGAAATCGCGAAATGTGGCCAAAGCCGCAGACAGCGCTTCCTTTCGAGAGCCGATAACGTTCGAATTGGACAAAAAATACAGTGATCGAAGATCGAATCGGAAATCGTGTCGGATGGGCAACGGAAAACAAAATAAAGACGGCACCTGGGGAAAGAAGAGAAAAGAGCTCGCGTCGAGCAGTGGTGGGTGGGGCGTGGGAGAAGGGAGGAGGACGGGACGAAGAGGAGTGAGGGGCGGAAGCAGGAAACGGAAATGGGGGGGGAATACGATGGGGGAGGGAAGAAGGACGAGGGGCAAGGAGGGAGGAGGATGGGGGAAGGAGAAGAGGATGGGAGAAGGGGGAGGGAGAAGGAGGAGGGGGACGAAGAAGAGGAAGAGGGATGGGGGACGAGAAGGCGGAGGGAGAAGGACGAGGGGGGGGATGGCAAGCTAGGTGCGCTCGCGTCATATCTGACGTCCTACCCCTCCCTCCCATCCCTGACCATGGCGTAGATATCCTCTCTACTCGCACAGTCGGATGTCGAGCAGGGCAGTTATCGCGAGAGGGTACGCGATGCATGGTAGAGCACGGCATGGCATGGCGTAGAAAAGCACGGCAGAGCGTAGCATGCCATAGCATGGCGTGGCATCAGTGAAGCATTGCATAACAAAACATTGCAATGCAAAGCATAGCATCGCACAGAGGCGCAGAACGCAACACCGCACAGCATGTCATGGCACGGCGCCAGGCTCCTTGGAGGGTAATTAAGCGGATCGTCTTCGAGGTCTGGGCCGGTCTGGAGTCGTGGCTCCAGTGGCTCCATGTCATGTCTAGCTCCTTGGGCTCCCCGAAAAAGCTCCACACAAGGAGGGGGTGATGGAGAGCACCCGCTGGCTCTGCTTCCAACATCGCCTTCTCAAAGCAGAAACAGGGCTGCCGCTTGATACTTTCTGATGACGACCACGCCTCAAGGTGGGGGGGGGGGCTTCTGCGGCCCAAACATCTACGAATCGACACCGACTGCGCAATCACTTCCGATGGTTTCTTCGGGGGGGGGCGGGAGCATTTTCTATATTTGGGGGCCAATCTGAAAGGACCGAAAACGCCCGCGCTGCAGCGGAAGCACGATTTGGAGCAACCACGGGCGCAGAAATGGGGCCAGCGCTTGAGCGGGAGCAACATTTTGAAAAAAACAAGCGAGAAAAAAAAAACGCGGAGGAGGGCCGTGGATATCTTCCGGACGTCATCCAGGGAGAGAGGAGAATAGTATTCAGACTGTGCATTTGTAAAGGGGGGGGGAGAAGAGGATGGGAGGGAGGGAGAAGGGGGATCGGGGGTTGCTAAAACAGGTGCCCCCAGCACAAGGTGCCCCCAGCCTCTCGTTCCTTCTTGGAGCCGCTGGGGCCCCCCTGGCCTCGTGGCGGGTGCCCCGGAGGCCGCGGGGGGCACGTCCAGCAGCGCCCGAGGAGAGGGGCAAGCTGGGCACGCTGGCGCCCCAGCCGGCACCTCCTCCCGGCCGTCCCTCCCCGTGACGCTGAAGCCCACCAGCCCCTCAAGGCGTGTGTGGTCGTCTGGCGCAACTTTCTCCTCCAGCTTGCCTTCGTTCCCCCCCTCGGGGCAGGGTGCCACTGCTCCTCACTGACACCCCCCCTTCCCACACCCGCCTGGCAGCAAGTCCGACGCCATGAGGACACCCCCCACCATCCCTGCCAAAAAACAAGCACGAAATCCACTTTCTGGACCGTGATCGGGCGCCCCGCGATCACTTCACGGCATGTTGCAGCATATTGCCAGCATATTGCCAGCATATTGCCAGCAGACTGCCAGCAGGTTGCCGGGGACGGGGGGGGCGCCAGCACATGGCCTGGCGCGTGCAGGCCCACCATCCCTGCCAAAAACAAGTGCAGAGCACACGCTGCGGTGGAACATTGCACCCTGCGCGGGCACCACGCGATCGTTTTGCACTGTTAGCGTGTGCACTGGGTCCCGATGATTGTCGATGGCGGCCCCTGCCCATGCTGAGGCTCGGGTGCTGCTCATGCGGAGGGAAGGCGGGTGGAAAAGAGCGAGACGGCCGTCCTTCGGCGGTACCTCTTGTCAGCACTTTGACCTGTCTCGTCTCACCCGTTGCATGACGTCAACCCCGGTATCGTCCCAACCATCGGCAGTGGAACCAGAAACAGGAGAAAAGCCAAGCGGTACACAGGAGTAGGAGGAGGACCAAGCGCTGCATAGCACAAGGAGGAAGAGAGTACTTAGAGATAGTTTTGTACTGTTCGCGATGGCGGCAATTACCTGCCCCGCGCAGGTAACGTCACACTTCGTGCTGGCATCCGAGCTCCTCGGATCTTGCTGGACGTTCCCAGACGGCGCCGGCGCGAAACGTAACGTTAGCGGCCCCCACCCCCTCCCCCCTCAAGTAACCCTGCGCGCTGTCCCGGTTGCCAGTTGCCGGTTCGTCCGAGGCTGGTCTGCCGGGGGGCGCGCGCGCGGCTGCCGGGCCTTTCTGCTCTGCAGCGTCCGTGGCGGCCACTTGCACCCACAGTGTGAGGTCTGCGCGGTGGCGAAAGCGGTATATGCGCCGCCCGCCCCAGGCTTGAGGGAAGGGAGCACGGTGTACTCCAAGCCCAGCGTTGAACAACAACCCCAAGGTAACGCCTGCTATCGCCCGGGGGCGAAAAGCGCTCTCGTAGTCAACCACGACATTCTCCCCCGTCGTGCCGCCCGCCCGTCCGGGCAGCTCCCGAGAGGCAACAGGCCTCACCCGTGGACGTCGTGTCTCCTGCGGGGTCGGCGGAGCACGCGGAAGCCACTTGGGAAACAAAAAACAAAAAAAAACAAAAAAACAGCACAACAACAAAAAACGCTCTGTTGGCTAATCTCGGCGTCCTCCTAAGAGGAAAGAGAACCACGCACATGCACCGATTCTGGCCAGGCCCATCCTGAGCCCAGGATCGGTGCATGTGCACACGCCCACCCACCTTGGCCAGGAAGGCGCATGCACCGATCCTGTGTCAAGGATGGGCCTTGCCAGGATCGGTGCATGTGCATAGTTCTCTTCGCCCGATCTCCCCCGTCTCACTCTGCCCGCTCGGCAAGGTCGAGGAGAGCGCCCCCCCCCGCCTGCGGCGGCCGCGTCCGCGGGGCCTCGGGCTGGCTGCGGTGTGGCGGGCTTCCGGCGCGGGCTGGCCAGCGTGGCGAGGCTGCGCTGCGCCGCGGGGCGAGGGGGGAGGTCTCTCAAGAAGCGTGTGGGTGGGGATCGCGTGGGGGGGTAGGAAACCGCTGTCCTTCGGGGGGCGTGGG